ATCGCATTAGCAACCAATCATACAAGACCTTAATTTTCAATCAATCCGATCCAATCTAGAAATGAACAGGGCTATAGAAAACTGGTACGGTAAAATAATAGAAATTACCGTATCGTACCGTACTGATATCCAAATCATGATAGAACCAGTATGGTACGACCAAAATTTGGAGGATCGTACCGTACTGATCAGCCGAACCGGTTTTCCTCCTCCCTATTTTATAGTTGTCAAAACTTTTCAAAATGTCTAAAGTCACAATCGTTTAAAATTTTATTATCTGATTATATTTTATTAATATCAACCCTGATTAACTATAATTTCATTTTACTATAATTTAAAAAAGTTGGGATTTCGATTATATTCTTATATTATAATTTGATCATAATATTTTATTATAATATTTTTTAGTCAACCTTAATTTAAAAATTTATAATCATATTAATTTGTACTTTTATAAAAATGGATTCAATTCAATTTTTAAAAGATTGATCTATTGCGTAAATCGGTCGAAATTATATTTTTGGTAAAATTTAAAAACTTTGAAATATTTTGAAAGGGCTTCCTTCGATGTCGACAGATCCCTAAAGAATATGATGGCAAAATTTAAATTGTTATTGAAATCAAGTGTGTACTATCGTTATTTATTTTAAAATTTTTTATTTTATACATATTTGCATGTATCTAAAATACAAACTTTTAATTTTTGAGCTTATACAAGTGTATTAAATAAAACCAATAAAAAAATAAAATAAATATTGTATGGAATGGATAAAAAAATTGGTTATTTATTTATTTATTATTATTATTATTTTAATCAGCGTTTTAGGACCGATAAAAAAATAAATAAATTTTAGAAACGTGTCATGTGACTTTGCGAGCGAAATTTTGGAAATGTACATAATTTTATAAAAATTTTCGTTAGTGTTCGTTGCTATAATACTTTCAAGCCTTTTTTACAAGAAATTTGTATCAGGCGATGTTTCGACATAATTTCTTTCAAAAAAATCTAACCATATTAAGATATCTTCAATAGTTGTCATTGCGCCTATAGACAAACGAACTGCGCCATACGATTTTCCATGGAATATATCTTGATTATCGTCACAAACTTTCCCACACTGTAAAAACAAAAAAGGATTTTAAAAAATAATACTTCAATTTTTTTTTATTCCGAAATTTACAAAAATAGCTTACCATATAATTTTGCATGAATTCGTCAGAAGTAATTCCCATCCATTTTGATACACTACCAGGATTACAATTACCACCAGATCTAATATGAATGCCATTTACACTAGCCAACTTTTCAACTTCGAGATATCCAACCAATTTTCCATCCGAACGTTTCAAATTAAAACTAAATGTGGCACCTTGTTGCTTATTATCTGAAAAATCTCTATCTGAATTTACTATGCAAACGGCTTGACCGTTGTAATGACAAAATGATTTCATGGTACGACTAAGATACGTGATTAAACTAGTCACATGATTCGAAATATATTCATAATTTTTATATAATCTTTCCATTGAATCGAATGCATAATCTAACGCAATTATGTTCAGGAAATTCACTGTGCCATCTTCATAGCGTTCCGTCAAATCATCTCTAAATTGTTGCCATTGTCTATCATAAACAGAAGCCTTAACTAATAAAAACAATTAAAATTTAACAAAAAATCTATTTTAGCGAAACGCTACGATTATGAATATTCGGATTTTACAGTACTTACGTGTGCCACCGCCAAAGTAAGCTTTCCTTAAAATTTGATTCAATTCAGTCTTTAAGATTAAAGCTCCTAATCCAGTTGGAAATCCAAACATTTTATAAAAGCTAAGCACAACAAAATCTGGTGATGTTTCTTTATTAGCTAAAGATAGTGATGACGTCGGAACATAAGCTGCAGCATCTAATAAAACCAACGTTTTTGAATATTCAGTATCAAATTTTTTGATTCCTGAAGTCCAGCTCAAAGGAAATTTCATTCCAGAGAAATTACATTGTGCCGGATACGCGAAAAGATTATACGTAATTTCTTCTTCGTCCATATCAAGAAAATCGATGGAGGTATTCTCGTTGATCATTGAATCAACATCATATTCAGTCACTGCTTCAATTACAGCGTTAAGTTGTTCGGGGAATCTTCTTAAACCATTGATACTACTATGAGATTCTCTTAAATATCGATAACTAGATTTATTCGTCCAAGGAAAAATTTCTCCGACCAATTTAATGGATGCAGTAGCATTTTGAGTAAAAATTATAGCATAATCTCTTTCATTTGCATCAAAATGCTCGAGAATCTTGGTACGAACTTTTTTAATTCTTTCCGTACTTGCTTGAGAACTAGGTGAATTTGAATGAGGATTACCATAAAGGTTATTGGTAATATCATTTACAAATTCTGTGAGGGAACTTTTTGCAAAGGTAGTTGATCCCGTATGATCAAGATATGCACAAGATTTTAATTGTGGATATTCTTTCTCGCGGATTTGATTTATTTTACCATCATATCCGTATATAGAAGAGAATTCTTTTAAAAATTTGCGTTTTTCTTTGTTTAATTTCTTTAAGTTTGGTTGATATTCAAGAGAATAATTCTTAAAAGATATTTTCTTTTTAAAAACGGTAAGGTTCATTTTAATAAAGTCTTACTTCCTGGGAAATTTTTTTCCCTTTTGAGAACGTTTATTCAGTTATTTTATATAAAACCATTAATAATTTATTACCGCAAATGAGAAAATATATACTAATCCAGTTTTGTAAAGTTAATACGAATAATGTTTCAAAAAATAATCTGAAATAGGACATTGACTTGCCACTTGTGGACATGTATTTAATTTTTGTAACACCCACATAAGACATTTTTCTAAAAAAGGTCATTCACATGGCATTTCACTTATATTGAAAATCTAAAATTAGAGTTTCTGTCTTAAAACTAGAATTGGATGTAATACAAAAACAAATTAAATGGCATCTTAGTATAACAGATTATATAATTTATAGCCAATTTTATATTATTTTATATAAGGAGTTGCAGTTTTTATTCTAAATATTTGCGTTCTTCAATTTACTTCTTATTTAGTAGCAATTGAAATTCCTTTTGGGTTCGTAATACCTTCTTTTTTTTTATTCAGCTCAGTAAAAATATTTTATAAATTTTTTTTTTAAAATAACCAATTGTGGTAATGATGATGGAAAAAACTAATTTGGATCGACAAATGAATGTTAGTTAATAATAACGTTTAATGATTTTCTTTTTTTGATTTTAACGCTATGATAAATTACAGTATATTATTAATTGTTATTATTATTTTTTTTTTTTAATCTACGAAATTGGTCGACATGGAAGTGTTTGCTCAGGAGAATTTTTTATCTAATTATGTCAATGAAAGGTAAACGCAGATGTGTTACAAATTCCCTAAATCGGAACACACTACTCCAATTAATCGAAAATTTAGTAATTATTATCCCTATGAAAAAAAGTTGTACAGATTTCGTACAGGTTTATGCTGAAATCATACAGTTTATGTGTAGTTTTTCCATGTAAAAATAATCGTACAGAAATTTTAACATGAAATCGTACAAAAAAAAAATTTGAAATTTGAAATATATGAAAATTGTACTGAAATTGTATTGAAAAATTAAAACATACAGATTTTTATAGTTTAGTATTTTATCAAATGTATGGAAAATTTATTATTACTAAAAGTGGGTAAATTAAATTAATTAATTGCAAATAATAACAAACTGATATTTAAAATCTTTCTTGGCGTTAAAAGTAAACTTGCAGAGCAAACAAAAATACTATCTATGATAATAAATTTAAGCTAGGAAGTAATCATATGCCCAAAAGTTGAATTACTAATTAAGATGCCATATATTTGTCATTTGGTTCATTCGAAATGGTTTTTTGGAACATAAAATAATCATATTGAGCATCCGAATTGATAATTTGGATCGAAGTGATTATTGGTGAAGTGGTGGTATGACCCGAAGTGAGCATTTGAGATATTATCCGAAGTGGTCATTTGGGATATCCGAAATGAGCATTTGGGATATCCCAAATGAGCATCTGGGATAAATGCGCATTTGGGACAAATTCATGTCTGAAACGATCTTCGCATTTGGATATCCCAAATGCGCATTCCGATTTGGGATATCCGAAATGAATGACATTGGCTACAACAGGACTACCCCAGCATTAAAGGATCGGCAACATGTATGATCATGCATATGGGCCTGCAAAATCTTAATGCGGGCCGACGTGACATTAAGTCTACGATAGATAGTGCGTCAAATTTATTTGTATAACGATTGATATGGCGCAGTGTAACGTAGAACTTGTTCTATTTGATACTTTTATCGGAGTATTGATACCATAAATCATCTTTTTTTTCGTTTTAAAGCTTCCTATTTCGTTGACACTATGACTTATATTCGAAACGATTTAGTTAATGATAATATAGATACCATTATACATGAATATATTTTATTAATTTCGTCTTTTAGTCCAGCACTAATCGATTCTATGAATATTCTTTCAGATAAAATGAATACATATATATGGGATGGTGGCATAAACAAACGGTTTCAATTGAGACAACAAGAAATTTTTGCCGATAAATCTCTTAAAGAGAATGAAAAAGTTGAGGTAATTGGAGAATTAGGCCGCAGAAATGATGATGAAAAAGTTTGTAATAATTTTGGAAAGAAAAGAATTTGTGAGAACTGCCAACAAAAATGTTTCGCGATAAATTATTGTGAACTTTGTATTCGAAATTACTTAAAAACAAATTTTTCAAATTGGTCGTCCGGAAATGATGAAATTGATAATTTAATACATAAATGTCAATTGGAAACAGTTGTTCCATATAGAATAATTGAATTGATTTCACATAAAGATTTACAAAATATAAATTATTTAACTAAAGATGGATGTTCTGAAATATACACGGCAGATTGGATTGATGGATAGTTTTTAGAATGGGATTCTGAAATTCAGCAATTAATTAGAAGTGGAACACGAAAAGTAATACTTAAAAGGTTAGAGAATG